ATATGGTCATACAAACGAATTCTAGACGAGACATATTTCTATATTGCTTATAACTATAATTTTGTTATAAATCACTATTTATATAAACAGTATTTCATAGGAAAGTTTATGATATACCTACCAAATTTCAGATAAAGTATGAGACTGTGGTGGCTTCAAATGGGATACGTTTATTACACATTTTGAGAACACTGGTCAAATGCTTGACCGCCTCTGTGGTCTAGTGGTCAGAGTTCCTGGCTACAGATCCAGAGGTTCCAGGTTTGATTCCTGGCTCTACCAGTTTCTGAGAAGTAGTGGGTCTGGAACGGGGTCCATTATGATTAATGAGGATAATTGAGGAGCTATTTCAAGCAAATAGCGGCTCCGGTCTAGAACACCGAGATTAACAAGCATGGGGATCCGTTGCGCTGACCATGTGACACCCTATATCTGCAAAATTTGGCACTAACTTCGCCAACAAGTGGCGGTCACTCAGTCAGTATAGTTTGCTTGTGGACTACAGGCCACGGAATTTTAGTTTTTTTGTTTGTTTGGACAAATGCTTTAGAAGTTGAAAGAGGATACACAAAAGCATCATGGTGGTCAGAGGCCTTTCTTTCTCTAGGAAATGGGAGTATGCTCATGAGTTCACCAAGCTATCTGTGTATGAGTGTCTCACTCCTCACCTTTTGAATCAGGTAACTGATTTTTTCTGAACATGGTATCAATGTTATGCCTCTGAAAGCCTCCTGAACCTTTACTTTTCGATTTGTTACAACCAAAAATATCACAGTTACCACACAAATATGATCCTCAAATGACGACGACGATTCAGAGTTTAAAAATGCAACTTTTATTATGGTAACTGCAGGTGTACAAAAATTTTCTGTAGCTTTGAATCTGACAGTGACACCTAACAGGCCACTGGACCTAGACATGTGAAATCTGGTATTGAGATAATCATAAAAACACCTACAAATAATATACAAAATACTGTTTGTAAGACAACAATTACAATGTGATAACACAATTGATATAGACAGAATGTGTATTTAAGTAATATTTTCTTCCTTCCCCCGCCCCCACCGCAAAAAAGGGGGGGGGGAGGGAGACACAAGATCATGTTCATCAGAGATACAATGCCATGTAGTATGGTAGATGGGTACAAATATTTCACAGGAACCTTTTGGCTTCGTCATCACGACAGAAGAGTTCTTAATATATACTACCATAAGAATCTCAAACATAAAATAATTAAGTTCAATTATTTCTTTATTCCCATGCTTACTCAGCAGTTGGAAGGCCATTATAAACTAAGCACAATTAAAGAGAAAAACAAAAAACACACACACACACACACACAGCCAAAACAAGGCATGATGTGTTTAGACATTAACTGTGTACAATTTGAGGTTCTCACAGCATTGGTTATGAAGATTTATATTTTCTGGAATATAATGCTGTGTAGTCCACTGGAAGTCAACCAACGTTTTGGAGGAATATGTTGCCTCCCCTGCTTTCACGCTGGTTTCTCACTCGGTTTATTTTCTGACCCTGAAGATGGAGGTGATGTTCCCGTGAAATATCAGTTGACTTTCAACACACTACACGGTGTTATATCCCAGAAGACAGAACACAAGACAGTAACTGTTCAAGTGATGCAATCATACCAACAATGCATGCAATGACACACAAATACAATTAATACTTTAATAACTACAGAGTAAAAATTATAAACTAGATGATTTTTGGTTCCAAGTACATCAACATCCCTACAAATGGCAGCTGAAGTGCATACAGAAAGTCTCTGATATACTCAGCAAGAACTTGAAGACCAACAATTTCTAAAACAGGACAGAATTTAGAATCAAGGTAAACTTGAATAAGAAACGGTGCATCAAGGTGATACCTCTCCTTAGACAAAGTGTGCAATTTTAATTTTATAAGAAAGTAATTTCTGTTACCCGTCAAAGAGAAAATGACCGAATTATTAAAAGGTCAGCCAAAAATTAAAAAACTCTATAGCAAATAATAAAAAAAGAGTCAGGAAATAATTTTACAGAAATAGAAAATACTGCTTTAGAAATAGACTCGTAAGTTAGTTACAAACCCACAGGATGTACCCCCAAAATTTAATGAATATTTTGTAAATAGCGTAGACAACCTGATACATGTAAATAAAAACTGTAAAATTGACCATGCCACTACAAATGATGTGATACAAAATCCAAATGTATTATTTCTTGCCCCTGTTACTGAAGAAGAGGTTCTTCAGGTTACTAGTAAATTAAAAACGAAAATTTCAACAGGTTATGATGAGATCCCGGATATGATAGTTAAAACAACGTATCCAAACCATAAAAAAAGCCTTTGACTTTTATATTTAATCTGTCACTAAGTTCTGGCATTTTTCCAAATCAAATGAAGACTGCAAAACTTTGACCTATTTTTAAAAAAGGTCAGAAACAAAATATTGCAAATTACAGACCAATCTCAATTTTTTCCAAAAATTCTTGAAACACTGCTGTACAATAGGGTTGTAAATTTCTTAAATAAATTTAATCTGGTATCAGATGCTCAAAATGGTTTTAGAAAAAATAAATCCATGTTTACGGCAATTCAAACTTTTATTGGAGAAATTCAGAAAACTCTACATAATAAACAACTGGCCTTTGGTATATTTTTGGATCTATCAAAGGCTTTTGATGTTATTAATCATAACTTGCTGCTTGCAAAGTTGGAACCGTATGGACTGAGAGGAATAGCTCAAGTATGGATGAGATCATATCTTACAGATAGATCACAGTTTGTTGAAATTCACTATAGGATCAAAAGACTTCTAAAATGAAGACAGTTACCTCATCCCTTAAAGCAATTAAATATGGTGTACCTCAAGGTTCTGTTTTGGGACCCCTTTTATTCCTATTATTTATAAATGATCTGCCTCGAGTTATACATAATGCAGAGGTAGTAATATTTGCTGACGATACAAATATACCGAGTACTGTAAAAAATATCATTAAATGAAAAAATTCAAAATGTAAAGAACCAATTAGAAAATTGGTTTTATGAAAATCGTTTAATAATAAACACAGATAGGTCAAAGGTATTATTTTTTTCAGGGAAGTAGATCTATTCCAAGTAACAGACCCCTTTTTTATATAAATAATAAGGTGGTGGTTTGTTCAGGTGATGTAAAATTTTTGGGTATTTGCATTACTGAATATTTCAGTTGGGCAACCCACACCCAATATGTGTCAAAGACTTAGCAAGACTATCTATTTGATAAAATCCCTGTGGGACTCAGTGAGCCAAACTGTTTTAAGAAATGTGTATCTTGCAAAATTTGAGTCCGTGTTAAAATACGGTATTATTTTTTGGGGTGGGGTTAAAAAGGACTCTGAAACTATATTTAAACTGCAGGAAAAAAGTGTAAGGGTGATAAAAGTCGTTAAAAATATAGTTTCCTGTAGACATTTGTTTCGTGAATTAAAGATTTTAACTGCTACTTCCTTATATTTTCGAGATCCTATGTTTATAATAAAAAATAAGATTTATACCACCAGTATTCTGATGTTCATGGCTGTAACACTATTCATAAACACAATTTGTATGTACAATTTTGTAATACTGAGCATAGCAAGAGAGGGGTGATTAGTATGGGAACCAAAATATTTAATGGCCTTCCAACTGAATTAAAGAATGTAATAAATTTTAATGTTTTTAAGAAGAAACTTAAGAATTATTTGTTGTGTAATGTCTTCTATTCTCTTCAAGAATTTCTTAATAACTGTTGACATGGACTGCTTGTTGATAAATCTGTCTGTATATTTTTATGCTTTTTTTTTGGAGTATTTACTATTATTAATAATTGTTGACATAGACTGCTTGTTAATAAATCTGTCTATATGCTTACAATATTTATTCTTATGTCTTTTTTGGAGTATTTATTATTCTTAAATTAATGTAATTGTATTAATTAAATGTAATTAATTCCATGTATTTTAAACATATTGCTGTATTATAGTGATAAATCACTGTGTGAATGTTATGTTATTTTTTATGTGACGTTAATATNTTTTTTTTTGGAGTATTTACTATTATTAATAATTGTTGACATAGACTGCTTGTTAATAAATCTGTCTATATGCTTACAATATTTATTCTTATGTCTTTTTTGGAGTATTTATTATTCTTAAATTAATGTAATTGTATTAATTAAATGTAATTAATTCCATGTATTTTAAACATATTGCTGTATTATAGTGATAAATCACTGTGTGAATGTTATGTTATTTTTTATGTGACGTTAATATTTGATATGTCCAATTGTAATTCTCTACAGCTATGGATGAAATAAATAATAATAATAATAATAATNCTTACAATATTTATTCTTATGTCTTTTTTGGAGTATTTATTATTCTTAAATTAAGTTAAAAATGTATTTTGAAATGTATTGCTGTATTATAGTNATTCTCTACAGCTATGGATGAAATAAATAATAATAATAATAATAATAATAACTGCTGTCAAGCATGAGCATAACTGTAATGGACTTGAGGAGAGAAACAATTAAAACAGAGGGCTGCAAATTTCTGCTGGATGCATTCCAGTTTGCTGGCATCAGTAGATGTAACAATTCCAAACAGCAGATGTGTAGTCAAGCTTACATCTAATGAACATAAAATTCAGGAGATGAGAAGGCGAAGATTATACTGTGAACTAGACCATACAAGTTAATACAATCAGAATATATATAGGTGACATGATTATGAAGTTCAGAATCAAGAAATACTGCCATGTCTTCAATTGAATTGATATGGGTGACAGAAGACTGAGAAAGTTTATAAACACAGTTCAATATGTTATTTTTCCTGATAAGGATATAAACTTTAATTTTACTAATGCTGAGTTTCCTATAGTTAGTAGTGCATCGACCTGTATGGAGTAAATATCAGATTTAGTAGACTGCAGCAAGGATATTTAATGGCACGGTACATTGGGAGATCAGCAAAATAGTAGATACCTGGAGTAGGTAAGTGCATCACATGTCATTAACAAAGATAATGAAGAGCAGGGACCCCAGAACAGATCCTTCAGGAACACCTGTGTGTACTTCAAAAGGGGCAGAAAAGAATTCCAGAAACACAGACCTGAGACTGCTGGTTGGTTAGGTAACCATGAAACTAGTTTATATAACCACCAGAAAGTTCAAAAGCACTAACCATATGAAGTAGCAGTGTATGAGGGACAAGGTGAAATGTTCTGGTAAGCTTGATGCTGAGAGCTGCCTAAGGGGGTAATAAAATCGATATAGGTTACAACAGTAGTGATGGCTGCTTCATAGTTAGTTAAACCATGTTGATAAGGGTTTAATTTAAATTTCAGGCAATGTAAAACAGGGTCATATAAAACATTTTAAAATAATCTGGAGAAATTATTAAGAGCAGAGGTGTGTCTGTACTTGGTAACAGAGGGACTGCCTTTTTTGAAATCATAAACAATTTCCACTTGCTTCCACAAGGTAGGAAAATACTGATGGGATAAGGTTAATTTAAAAATATGTTTCAGAACATGTACAAACATAACAGCCGTTGATAACGAAGCCAGGGATGCTCTCAGATATTTTAGGGCTTTAAAAATATCAGAATTGGGAACAGCAGTTGAAGACAGAAATTCAGAAGATAACATAAGAGAGGGAAAGGCCCCTGGCCAGGGATTATTATATACTGACTGAAAATGCTTGGCAAATGTATTGGCAACTTCACGAGGTTTGATTAAATGAGTACCATATACCTCAAGCTGAATATAAATTGAACTTTTTTCTCCCTAAAGAAGTCATATATTTCCAAAGCTTACTGAGTTGCAACTTCAAATTATAATCAATCAACTTCAACTACCTAAGTCTCTCATGCTTATTAGTACCTCATAATAAAAGGAGAATTTATTGTAAAGACAGCCAGATTTTTTAACAACTGTAGAAGGAATTCTTTTTTAATGTAATACCTAAAAAACTAGAAAGCCATAACAACAAGAGCATTCTGCAACATGTTATAACTACTGGCGACGATGATGATGATGATATCTGCATACTGTTTAATACGGAAACATACAAATGAGACCACCATACTAATCCATGAGATAAATTACATTCTATTATCAGATTATAAACTTATATGACTCAAATTTAACATTATCCCCCCAGAACTAGGACTAGACATCTGTGGCAAGAAAGTAGGCTTCATTAGTTAACTTCTGTAATCCACTTTCAAATGAAAAATTTTGAAACTCTATGCAGTAAAACAATATAGAATCAGCATACTAATTAAAATGAAATACAGTAATACAACATTTTACAATTGCAGTATTGATCCATGATGTACACATAAGACTAGTAGTAGTATCACTATTAAAAGCACAGAGCCAAATATACTAAATAAATACACACTTCTAAATATGTCTGCAGATGAAATTATCTAATTTCTGGTTCAAGCATAATTATTTATTCCCTGACTGCAGCAATCTTGCACATCCCTAATACATATAGCTGTCTGCATTAGAACTCTTACATCATGCACAGCAACATATTTCTTTACAAAACAACTACTGAAAATTTAATTGCTATGCAATATTTACCTACCTAATCATCCAAAAAATTTGTGCACTGAAAATGAAATCTAAAATATATGTGTGAAATGAAAACAATTTTGTGTCTCTCTCTTCTCCACAGAACAAACCATTCCTAATATATTTACCATACAAATTCAGTTGTTTCAAAATAATATATCCTTCAATTATTAAGAAACACTTACATCCATGTATCCTATCCACTTCCAGTATTTAAATTCTTCTGCATACTTAAAGCAAGGCAACTTCTCTACAATCAATCCCTTTACCCAACAGTTTTTACAGCATTAATATAATCTAAGTAAGTTTAAGTTCCTGCAATTTTACTATTAAGAATTATGTACAGATTTTGAATTTTGTCATATAAAAATTTTCACTTAATGATACCGAGATCTAGGATGTACCAGAACTACCCTATCAAAACTAGGTTTCACAGGAGTGATGGGCTCAGCAGTGTTAGCATCCATGCAAGCCTGGGCACAGCAGTGAAACTGAAATAACCAACTAAAAGCTCTTTACATTATTAATATTTAGTAAAAGCTTCAAGTACTGATTCGATGTAAATTGTGGTCTTTATAAATTAACTGTGGTTCATATGAAGCATGGAAAATTCTGATAAAACACAAATTATGATTCATTCACATTCCCTATTAGTTGAAATGTAACAACAGTCACCTAACTTGCATTATTAAATGTTGAGATAATTCTTGCTCTTATGGTCATTTATGAGTACAAGACTAGTCATCCGACAGGATAACCAGGAAGACTAGAATGAAAGGTGGCATTCTCCAAAGATTCTCATTTTCTCATATTTTATATAATCGCTATAAACATAAGATAATAAGTATGCATGACTAGAAAATGTTATAGCTGTATTTTATGGCTATCACCTTCATAAATCAGTAACTATTCTGGATTAATAATTTAGCTATAGTGAGTTCTGTCCATTTTCAGATGGTGCTTGCTTTTGGTGATATCGATAGAGAGACTGGAGGGGCACATGCAGAAGCTCTACCAGCTGAGGGAAGTTTGGTTCTGTAACAGAAAATTCAGTATTATTACCATTCTAGTTTGATGAATCTTTAATAATATTACTGGCTTCCTTTGAAAACCATATATGTCTGAATCATTTCACAACATTGGAGACATCAAAATGCTTTTATATAATATATTGCTGATGTACAAGGTTTTTAAATGGTTGTCAGGAGCTACCATCATTGACAGTGGAGTTATATGGTATTTAAACACTAGTATGGGACACATTTTCAGACTATATATATATTGTAATGTGTTTACGTTACAGAAGACGCCGTAGAGATCATTAACTGGTTTATTGAACAATCTACAACTATCGGCTACACTTGATTATCACAACGTTACGGGTTTCCACAGTTTACAAACCCTACAACAAATCTCTTAACACTGTCTTCACTTGTCTTCACGTACTACTAACGCGGGAGCTATACAAGTCTCCCTGAAATACACACTCCGGGTATAACTGTACTACAGCAATCACTATGTCTGGAAAGCACACAATAAGTCTTCCGCTCGCTGACTTCTTAGATATCGCACACTCGCAGGCTGCTATGTTTCAACTCATGGTAGCGGCTGTGGAGTCCACTTATATAGCCTTGCGCTGTTGCTAGTGTGACGTGGCGTATAGCATAGGACGCTGTTGCTAGCGTGACGTCACCGCTGTTGATTAGCATTGCGTAGTTGCCAGGTTACGGGGCTCGGCTATCTTCGGCTCCGCTCGGCTCTCTTCGGCTCCGCTCGTGACGTCACCGCGCGTTGCGCATTGCGGGGTGATTACTCGC